AACCAATACTTAGTAATACTATAAAAAAATCCTTCTATATAGTCACTTTTCACTATAGTCACACTTTTTATTTTTGGCCCCGAGGTGTGTGACAGTAAAGAGTGTCGACTGTATTAATAAAATATTTTAAAAATATTTTAAAATGATTTTCTTTTTATTATAAAATATCTAAATTTTAAATACCTTATTTTATAGATAACATCAATAACAACTACATATTTAAAAAACTTTTATTTTAAGCTGATTTTCATTTTCATTACATATTAAAGTTTTTATAAAACTAAATTTTATTTAGATCTTAAAAGACTATCTAAATTAAATTATTTATAATTACTCATTAAATTAATAATAACAAATTTGATCCTTATTTTTTGATCATTAAATCTATTATTTTTTATCCTTTTTAATTCATTATTTTTAGATTCTAATTGAATGATTCTCTAATCATAATATTTTATAAATTTATATAACTTATTTTTTGAGATTCTAAATTGATTAAAATTTCTTTTTTTATAACATAAATTTTCATAATCTTATTCAAAATTATTTATTATTATTAATCTATTGCTATTAAGAAAATTATTAGTTGATTGTAATGTCTTTCATAAATTGAATAACTTTCTAAAGAATATTAATGAAGATAATTCAGAAAAATAACAAAAATATCAATTTATTTACTATGCAGACGCATTTGTTTTTTTTTAATTTATATGATACTAGTTTCTGGATATTTAAAATGGTAATATTTTAGCAGATAATTTATTTTCCATTTTTAGATAAAAGTGAATGATATAATTTTGTAAAAGTGTATACAATTCCGCACATATAATTATTGGATAAAATTAAATTAGACAAACTAATGAATTTTATAATTTTGCAGTTGTAAATAATTTAATTATTACATAATATACACATACTATAATAATTTTTACACATGATTTTATTTTATCATGTGCGCATTTTTCCATACAAAAACCAATTAAATTTTCGAAATGTGACTATAGATTATATTGAATTCCATTTTTAGTAAAATCCCAGACTGCAACACGCGCGTCTAACTTTTTATTTAAACTGTATTTCATCTGCTGTGTTTGTTATGAGGTGTTTTGATGAAGGTCCGCTGTTTCCGGAGGAGAAATGCTACCTTTCTTATGATGAAGGTTTTACAATATTCCTTTAATATTTTTTTGTAAGTTAGATTCCTGAGTTAGTTCGATGGTTATAGAAATCTGGAAAGAAGTCAACGTAATTGCAAAAGAAGTAAATCAAAAATCCGTTCATGCTTTTCAAAACCTGACTAATTATAAACATTCAATTAATTTCATTATTATTTGTCATCTAGATCAGCGACTTTAAAAAACATAATATAATGTGTGCAAAATGGATGTAGACGTCAACATTGATTCAAGAATATCCTCCGGAAATAGTAGAAAGAATGAATCACGTGATAAAAATTTGAAAAATATCGATTCTATTTTTCAAATTAGCGAAAGGTCTAAGAAAAAATATGACAAGTTGGAGGATAAAGATCTTGTGTACAAGGCGCGTAGTGGAAGATCTACATATGAGTCTATTATAGCTTGACAGTAAGTATAGTGAATTTTATATTTTAGGATTTTTAACATATCTTATATAGCTTTAATTTTGAAATTTTGCAATAGTTTATATATTCATCTATGATTGATGTGGATGATCTTATAGTTTGAAGGAAGATTCTTTCCCGTTGAATATTCTCGACGAATATCGAGGAGGAATTAGTATTAAATACGGAGTACACGAAAATCTCGCAAATATTACGAAAAGGTCAGCTGAAAATCACGTTGTTATTATTGATTATTTTGTCACGACTAACATGATTTGTATAGACTAGTGCGAATGGAATTAGAGAGGTCATGAAAGAGATTGCTCTTACCGACACTCTTAATTATTCGGTCACAGTTTGTAAGTATGGTATTGAGTATTGAACTTTAACATGAACAGCATGCGAATAATATAATATGTACTATATACAGAGTAAGACAATAAGAAAGAAATCCAAGCGCATTCGCCTTAGATCAATATGAAGCTTGGTACAACATTAATGCGTGGGGACCAATAATTGATAGGGCATATGGGGTGAGTGCTGGGAAAATGGACCAAATTGATTTTTTTTTTAAAAAAAAAGTTCTTAAGTAAAATAGATGTAGATTTGGTCATCTGATTCAGAT